TTATGCTTAGTAAGGTACTGCGGCGGATGGAAAATTATTCAGCATTTTTATTCGGCGGCTCGGTAGGGCGTTTCATAACTCAAAACCAGAAAGGTTAATTGCGACTTAGTTAAGCACAACGTAATATGTAAAAAGTGCGTTATAATAGTTTAAAGCGCATCAATTTGGAATAAAGAGCATGTTACATGCCAGGCATAAAAGAAGTGTTTCGTTAAAAACATCCGTCGCATGATGAAACAAAATTTTGCAAAACATAGGTCGAGAACTTTTCACATTTATATCATCGTGGTGCGAGCACGAAATCGCGTTTGGAATATTGAAATTGCGTACAGCAAAAACGAATGGGAACGATTGGAAAAATATGCGAATGATTTGGCTAAGCGTTTCGATACCTCGAAAACCACTTAACGCATTTGGCTCTTTACTGTTTTTGTCAGATATGTTCTACGTATATTCCGATATATTTCATTAATATAATTGCTTTATGTAAATTTTTATATAAAAGTTTGAAAATTACGCGATATAAAATATCACGTAAAATTCCATTCTCAATGTTTCAAATCATCATACGCTCATCATATATGCTTTTTTTCTCCGACTTCAGCATGTCGAATATATATACGAAATATTTAATATTTTTGCTTAAATAATCATAATCTATCGTTCCGTATCGTTGATTTTACTTATCTATCTCACCTGATGTGGAAGCAAATATTTGGTACTATAATACAAAATGCATAAATAAATGAAATGGATTAAAATAGAATTGGAACGCATCAAGAGCTCAATAAATCTGCTTGAAACCGCTTGGCGGCAAACATATAAAAGTATAATATCATTTCTTTAATAAGCAATTTATATAAAACATTATATACTTTACACATACGAGAAGTGTACCTACTTGATATTTACTCGTGAAATTTCAAAGTACAAAGTTTGAATAAAAAAAGAATCGTTGTTAAAACGATATATTATATTCGCACGAAATGTCAAACATGCATTTGCTTTTATATTAAAACTAGTCTCACATTAAATCTATTGTTTTACGTTTCTTACGTTTTAAAAAGTATTTGCCTCGTTTTTATTCATATTAAGACATTTTCTTATGTTGACAATTAAATATACAGTTTCAATAAGTAAGATTTTAACGGAAAGCATAGAAAATGTAGGCGAACAGAAAAATAGCATACATTGCCTGTATAAACAAATGCAACAAGATAAATGTAATTTCAGTTGCAATTTATTTCGAATATTTCGACGTAAAAAGCGCCATTATAACATTTGCGTACTACATCTGAACAAAAAACATATACTATACATAATAACTCACTTTAGAAGTATTCCGCGCTCTGTCCGATATTTTGTTAAAAAATTTGATGTAAAATATAAACGTTTCCTTCAGAAGAAAGAAACATTTTGATAATTATTCGGATTAATGAACATCGCGGCATTGACCTATACCTTGACATATGTTATCAAGATCATGACTCTGAGTGATCTTCAAAAGTTTTAGGTGGCGGTCACTGTTCGTTCAAAAGTTATTAACAAAAAAAAGTTTAAAAAATAATGTCTTTCTGCTATTTCTGCTATATAGTGACAGGCATATAATTTTCCACGCAAAAACAGGTTCATCCTACCTCCTCCCCCCCTGCTTGGAGATGTACGACTTTCCACGCAAAGCGAAGTCACTTCACCTCCCCTCTGTTTAGGAAAAAATCAGTCTCTCGCCTCTTGGCCCTAGAGGGGAACGGGGGGGGTGGAGTTCTTTTCGCGTGGAAAGTTGTTCACCCCTAAGCAAGGGAAGGTGGGATGGATCTCTTTTCACGTGGAAAGTCGAATATAGCCAAGAAGTATAGAGTAGTTTTTAATATTGTATATCAGTGCTCGCAAGAATCTGCACATTTCGAGCCAATTCCTGCGGGCTCCCCCCACTACCGCTCGAGGTTCGGTCTAGTTGCCTATCGCGCGCGCGACGTTGTGGCTCAGGAGCATGTCCCTATACCAGAAATATACTAGGAGCGCATCTTCCGCCAAATCATTATTGAAATATATTTTTTATTAAAAAATTTATTTAGGATCATGATGACAACATATGTCAAGATCAAAGTCATCGGCGTGGTGTCCGTTAATCCGAATAATTACTAACATTTTCTCTCAAAAACTTATCTTTTAATTTTATCTTATTAATATTAATAAACAAAACAAAATCGATAATATTCCTTTTATCTCTAAAATAATATAGTTTAAGAAATAGATTTAATAATCAATTTGATTTCGTTATATCACAATTGTAATTGCAATTCAAGTGAGTAACTCGAAGCTTGTCTTAAAATCCTACTTAAGTTCTACTTTTCGCAATTCCATGAATGATACTTACAAGAAAAGATCATACATAATAAATAATTTTTGAATTTTGTAACATTTTCTTTGGAAAAATTCAATAAGAAAAAGATTGTTTGCATGAAAAACCTCATTTGAAGTCTAAGAAATTTTTTAAATATTTATAAAAACTTTACTTTGACCAGTACTTTGAAATGATAAAATTATAACAATAAAAACTTTATTCCATAAATAATAAATTTAATAATGTTTTTAATAGAATAAGTAATCCTTCATAATTTTCATGGGATGTTCAGGATATATTCTGGCTTTATAAACTCGTTAAATATAAGAATGATATTTATACACATTATTATCATATATAATATAGCGTAAATTGTTTTAAAATTAAAAAAACATTTTTGCATTTATTTAAAAGATGTGTAAAATATGTTACCAATTTTTATTTAATTGTAAATCATCAAAAAGAACAATAAAAATTTTAAAAATAAACAAATGACAAATGGGAAATTGGGAAAATAAAAATTGAGATATAATGTTGGTGTGTCAAAAACATTCCATAAGACTAATTACATTTAAAAAAAATTATGGGAGTAATGTAAGATTAATTGATAATCCAAACTCATCATTTAACTCGTCATTTAAAAAAAAAATTAAATAACTCACATACAAAAATTTGTTATTAGTAATACATTTATACATATACTGCATCAGAGCTAGACGCAAATTCTCTCGTCAATTATGATTTTTTTAAATAACATTTTCAAAATTCTCTTTTAATTAAACAGTATTAAGTCTATATGGCATACGATTTTTTTCTGTTGGAGAGAGAGATTTTGCTTGCGTTTTAGTAAATTTCTAGAATTACACTAGAGATTCTATAGCTGTCTGATCACGAATAATTTTGTTTTATAAGAGAGAAAGGTAAATATTAAAAAATTTGGTATAAAATATAGGTAAATGTATGTTTCCTTCAGTAGAAAGAAACATTTACTAGAAAACCCGCGAAACGCAAGATTGTCAAACATTTACTTCTCTCCTGTATATACACTATATCTTTTTAACGCACTGTCTACTCTACAATTTTAACCCTCCGCGAACTCCAGGTAGTGTGTGATATAATGCAGCAATGAATTTTTATAACTTCTTAAAAAGTGCCGCTCGCATAATGCCAGTTTCGTGCAACTGGAGAGTGCGTTGTTACCAGAGTTAGGAACGTTACCTTAAAAAAATAATGCGTTATCGTTACAATAACTTTTTGTTAAAAATAACTCGTTACCAGGTACTCATTCTAAAAAGTAATGCGTTACCATTACTGTTGAAAAAATAACGAATTGTTACTTTTTCGCGGGGTTGGCAAGTAAGGCTAGGGGGGGGAGGGCCCACACACTTGCTTTAAGAAGCCACAAGTCGAAAGAGATTAAGTGATAATAATTTCTGTCTTTAAATTGTTTTGCGCAGTCTTTAAGTTTTAATCGTTAGACTTAAGCGAATTGAGCAAAACCTAATTCTTACTAAAAGCATAAGTTCTGTGGCCAATATATCGTCACTTACCATACAACTTAAAGCTTACGACTTACGGCCTCTTAGCAAGGTTGTGGATCTAGCCTAACGCGTTACTTGTAACGTCGTTACCGTTACAAGTTACTTTTTTCGGTAACGAATGGGTAACGACGTTACATTTTTTTCTGAATGACGTTCATGGTAACGCAGTTACATTTTTAGGGTAACGGTAACGATTTCACTAGTTACTTTAATTATTACTTTATTTCTAGCCATGTAAAAGTTTTTCCTAACTAGATCGTACATATATATATATATATAAAATCTCTTTATATAAAATCTACGTCAAAAAATATCATTTCCAATATTTAACAATTAATATTAAAAACATTATGTATTTTTTAAGATAGCTAAAAATATGTGTGTATAAAGGATCAAAGACCACAGATTATATTCCATAAACACAAATCGCTGTAAGTAATAGTTCGATAGTCAATAATTATATTTTTTTTATTATACACGCGAGACCATCGAGCACGAGAGAGTTAAGCGAATTTTTCGCGTCACATTCGGCTGGTTACTGACCAGGTACAGCAAATAAATTGGTAGATTCGCGAATCACAGTTTGTGTAGAATGGATAGATTCTCGTGGGACATTTGTAGGAGTGTTGGTTGGTAGGGACTGACATATACGCAACGGAGAGAGCAGGACCGAAAAGAAAGGTGGATATACCCCCGTAAATTCCAGCATTTTTACCATCGACCTATGTACGCGTCCCCGTCATTCGATTCATCCGGCATCGTACCTTTTTCCCGCGGCCAACGGTATTCTCCACTTTTGGATTCGACCCGCTTCGATGCCCTCGAAGGCGCTGCCGGATAAAATATATGTACTCGTTGTACCTACAATACGGCCCGACGAGAATAACGTCAGAACGAGAGAATTCACCGTTGAATCAATACGCCGATAAAAATATAAAAACAACAGTAATATTAATGTTTTATTCGATTGTAATGCTTATTGTATATTCCTATGTGTATCATAGAATAGCGCTTTAAATCATTTTTTTCTTTCTTTACATATTATGAATATGTGAAAATTGTACATCTAATATTTGATGAAGTTTTTCAATTGAACAGTAAGATAAACGTACCACCCAGCTAACGCTAAATATTCACAGAAAGTTCGATTCGTATTACCAATGTACGGAATGTTCCGGAACAGTAAAAGAATCGTTACAGAATGTGCAAATGTCGATGAAATATTGAGAATATTGTGTGAATACTTCTTGTATATTTCATGAAAATTGCTAGCGAGTGAGCAATACACATTTCCGCTGACAGAGGGCCGCGGCGACGAGCATTTACTCGGAAACAAGAATCACCTGGGAGAGAATATAAGGAGCGCAACACTTTGTCTGTAAAGTGAGCTCCAAAATTGGGCTCCAAGGTGAAAATACATTAAATATGTTTTCCAAAGTAAAATTTTGTTTATTTTGTTTAAAAACTGATTCACGGACGACCTCCTGACCTGGAATTTTTGAAAAAATTATAATTTTGCGGAATATATATGAAATATATATGGAACATTCTCGGAATACCATATGTAATGATATACAAATGAAATTTTTAACCGACATTTGAATGTTTCTTTTACATACCGTAAATATTCGAAATATTTTAGAGTATTCTTGGAATGTTTTTTGAGGATTTTAGGAATATTTTATGAATATTTCAAGAATATTTAGCGTTTGCTGGGCAGTGTCCGGACATATACCTATGTCTGGACACTTACATAAAATTTATTATTATTAATCTCAAATGCTTTTTTATTGCTGTATTATAATTTAATTGCATTTAAAAATTACAATTAAATTATAATATTTCGTTTTAAAAAGCGTATTTGAAACCATTATTAACTTAAATAAATAAAGTTTTATGTAAATATCCGGACAATAAAGTACATGTTACATGTCCAGTCACTGGGACCGAACGTACCTATGTCCGGACAGTTACACAAAATTTTATTTATTTAAATTAACATTAGTCTCAAATGCTTTTTACTGTAAAGATCAATTTGAATTAGTTATCTTTTGTCATTAAACATTTATTTATATTAATATTTCCCGTCAGTATACTAATTTTCTAATTGTGGTCAGACACTGAGACAATTACGTCCCAATATCCAACCGGCTATCCGACCACTGTTACATTGACGCATTCTATTACTTATTTAAATATTTTAATTAATAATTGTTATAAGTGGGTTCAAATAATTTTTCCTTAAGAGAGTCTTAAGTTTTCTTGATGATTGAATGATGAAATGAATGCAAATATATTAAAAACCTTTTTTATATTATAAATTATATTATTTATGACAACCTACACTTAAACGTCCAGCTATTGGTACGTATACCTTAATTATTAAAACCATAATAACTAAAATTCTCAACATATATATTTTATTCTTAAATTTTTTTTAATTTAAAAAAATAATTAAAAAATGTATGGATTTGCTATCATATATGTAGTTGAAAGGTCGACTTTTTGTGCAATTGTTACGAATTATATGAATTATTCTGAACGTTAATTTGATTATATAATACCTCAGCGTTTTAAATGTTTCGAAAATGTTATAAACCAGTATTAAAAAATTATGTTTTATACAAAGCGCTAATTCTTTAAACAAAAACGTTCGCGATGTTAAAATAAATTGCACAAATATATCTCTGTGGCAAACGTCATTACTCACACGTTACTCACACGTTCGTTGCATGCGTCAAGGGAAATATTAATTTGAAACTGATAAAATTGCATCGTTCAGTACAAGGCTCCTTCCTCCAGTGATTCATTTCCCAAACCTATTCAATAAAATGCTCTAATTTTTTGATGGAACGCGATGTGAGCATTTCAGAGCGGTTTTAATTGTTTATATTTCAACACACGTCTTCCTGTATGCAAATACATAGATTGTACCAGTCAAATTTACACGTTATTGTTACTGTTAATTGAACATACCACTCGATTCTCATTCATTAAATTTGAATCGAATCGATTAATATTAAAATATCCGAAACGGCGTAATGCAGTATTTGGTATGATTGCAGCTTGTATCGATCCTTTACCTTTTTTTAATTTCTATGCAGTTTTTGTAAAATCTTAGTTAGCAAATTGCAATAATAAAATTTAAAAAATTCTAAATAGTTTCTTAGTGCAATTTTCCAATATGAACTATAATTCACGATTCTAAGAATATAACTTGCTCTTTTTTTTTTTATTTAAACTTATTCTGTTGTTTAATTTAACTGATCATTATTTCTGTATATTACATAATAATTTATTTAACGAATAAACTAGTAGTTTAATAGTCGAATCATAAATTTGAAAGTATGTATAATATGTTTAAACACAACAATTTTGCGCATGTGCGCGATTAATTCTTTTAGACTATGTGATTAATTTACTCTGAATTAAGAAGGGAATTAAATAATAAATTTAAAAAATTATTATTGTCTCAGAAATTCAAGTTTCTGTTAAGTTATCTCTCGAGAAATATTTTGTGTACCTGGTAGTTTAATTTACTAAAGGATTATTATGTCAATTAGCGAAATAGTTTAAATTTTGCCAAAACTAAATGTGCTTTTTTAAAGTAAACTTCATATATTTATAATGAGAAATTATCGAGACTTCTTAAAGATCAGAAACTGCCATATCGATTTTTAAGATCAAATGTTTTAAGTTTAACATCTTCCATCTCAAATTATTCTTTAAGCGTAGCCATTATCGTCAATTCTTTCACTTATATTATAAATGTTCGCGCGGAAATATGCATATCAAATATCGTAATTCAATTTTGATGAATATAACGCTTTCAGGAACAATTGATGCTTTCTTATCAAAATTCAATGCAGCGAGTGCTTGCGGAAATCTCGGAAATTCTTGCGAAAGTTCCGGCACTTGGCGCGATTTAAGTTCACCGCGAATCGTGTAACTGACGAAAGAATTAATGATCCTTTTGGAAGCCAGCGAGAATATATCATCTCAATTCGTCGTCATGAGCGAGCAAACGAAAATTCATCTGTGAAAAGTTTCCCTGCTTTATCTCATCGAACGACCGAAAAAAAGAGAAGGTAGCCAAGGAGGACGACGAAAGGTATACGTCGGATTTTAATCTCGTACGTTTGTCCGTGTGCTCGTAACGATAAATTTATCATCCTCGGGTAAAACGAGACACGCCGCACAGCCAACCTGTATAAATGCAAATCACGATCACGGAATGTTTTACCGTTTTCTATCTTTTCGGCTCCGTGGTTCGGAGCGAGTTTAATTGCAGTAAATGTACAATTCTCTCTCTCTCTCTCTCTCTCTTCCTCTTTCTCTTTCAGAGTCTCTTAATTATCATAATAAGATTTACCTTAATCGAACTTCCACTTTGCGCTTCATTGCACCGCATTATAAACCTTTTTAATGAAGTATATATTTAGGGAGTTGTAGTTAATATAGATTATAAAATTTAATGATAAAGCATCTGTGAAATGCATGAAGTATTTACGATCACATAAAATATTCTAGGATCCTGCCCGTTTCTTTTCAGATCTTTACACCTACAAAAAAAAGAAAATACACGTGTCATTACACGTTGCGTAAATGCAGTTCGCGAGAATACCAGGAAAAAGCCTCGCAATTTCAGAAGTTATTTATGTAAATGCATTTCACGATTCCAGTTGCCAAACTTATCTTCGCTCTAAACTACTTAAGCGTTGATCTTATTACTTCAATAAGCGAAGACTGCCAGTAAGATAGGGTGGTTGTAAAGTACTTTTGAGGCTAATCAGTTAGTGCCTCGGTAAAATGGTAATAAGGTAAATCGTAGCGAGCTATAAATAAATCGTTCAATTATTGAACACTTAGATATTCAGTTACTTACAGTTATGAAATGATTTATAAAGGTTTCGTTTAAATCGCAGTCATAATTACAATCCTTTCCGGACGAAAATGAATAATCTGTATTATACATATTAGTCTCCATTTCTCTTATGGGAATGCCAATTATAGTTTGTCGCCCAAATTAAATTTCGCATTTAATAATGATATAGCAATGTACAGTCGTCTTTAAAAGTTTATCACGCCGAAGAAGAAGAATAATGCATTTATGCAGCAATATATGTCAAACGTAAAAGTTTATATAAATCTCATAAATGCAAGTGGCCGATAACTATGCAAGAGTCAATGCGATTTAGTGTGGTTCTTATCAAGACGAGATCTACGACGTCAGCTGGAGAGATTGATTTTATCCGGCAGAGCCACTTTCCAGTTCGTGGCGTTTGTCCTCGCTTTTCCCACGTCGTATTTGCACTGTGTCGTGTCTCCACGCGATACATCGTCGTTTAATAAGAAATGGAAATTTCAACAATTGAATTATCGTTCCCGGCAGGATTTAACTCTGCTCGAGTAGCTAGATGACATTAAAATAAATCACGCGGCAAACAATGGATTTATACGACTCAACAAATTTGCCTCCAATCGTTAAGCATCCCTAACGTCCTTGTCCAGAAGCGTCAATACTTGAACGATGCGGCCAACTTGTTCAAAGTACAGAATGGTTAACCGACGTCAACGTCGAAATGTTAACAGTTTCTGTTTGCACGGATAGCGCAACGGATCCGTCCGTCCATCATTTAGGTACACCCTATGCATGTTATTAAACTTGATCCTTCTTCGGAACACAGTCCGCTTTCAATAGATTAACCGTGAATAGCAGATTTTTTACGAATTTCAAATCCATCTTTCCCCAAAACAAAAATAAAAATTAAATAGATTTGTAGCTAAAGAATCCCGTTATTTAAATTCTGTTGAATCGGCTTATGTGCGTAAGATAAAGAAAAGAATGAGATTTTTTGTTATCTTTTTGTATTCTGAAAATGTAATTTATTAAATATCATTTATTTTTAATTGTGTATATCTCATCATCTATATATCATTTATTTTTAATCACCATTTATAAATTTAGTCATCTATATCTTGATACAACAATTGTTAGTAGTTTTAAATATTACTTCTTTATTGTTATTCATTATTATTGATTACATCAATCGTTGGATGATTATATACATAGTTACAAATTTTATATGTACCCCCCCCACACACACCCACACACCCACACCCACACACACACACCCACACCCACATCCGCACCCGCACCCACACCCACACCCACACACACACA